CTTATTAAGTGTTTCTCACCTAATATATCTGATTTTCTTATAGAAGGTTTCATCCAATAGTTAACACTTTTTTTCAGATTAAATGTGTCTGTAAAATTGAAAGCTTTCTGTGTTTTATGGAATCACGAATCATGAAAGCAACTTGGGCTATGTGACTCCTCATATGCCTGATTATAATTCATGGTCATCCAATTCTGGTTAAACTAATTTCTCAATATTTGTACCACACTAGTTCGAATATTTATTTTTCGACCCATCACTAATTTCATAAATTAATGTTTCTTTTTATAAAATGTCTGTCTCCGAGGTCTTATGATGAAATAATTATAATAAGTTCCTTCCCTTTAAATCTAACGACCGATGTGGCAAATCTAATAGGTAATTATTGGTTATGCCTGTTCTCAAATCGTCAAATATTTGACTTTATTCTTCAGAAGAGAAAATCTTTGCCAATTTCTTCTAACTAGGTGTCTAGGTTTTTATTTCGTCCTTTATTGCGAACGGGATTCGATCAATCAACGCTTTGAGTTTTAAACTGAGTTTGCACAATAGCGTATTCCTCTAATTAAGCCCTTTATTTTACTCTGAGGGTTTCCTAATTCACGGCCGTCCTGCTTTTTCTGTACGCTTAGTCATCCAGTTCGACTATGTCATTGTTTAGTGACTACAGGAACGACTAATGTCTCTGCTATTGTGATATTCACTGTCCACTTATGAGAATTACTGTCTTATTTGCTGTAGAAATTCGCGAAGAAGCTGTCAAAGAAGCACTGCAAAAAGATCCCCTTGTGTGTCTAGATTCTGTTCGACCTAGCAAGCGACGGCAGCACAATAGTTGCATCCCCGAACCTGGTCCTTCGCATGCCAGAAGTATGTCCTTCGCTTTTTGTACGCTTCTCTTTATTTACCTTACTAATGCTTTGTATTGGTTACATTTCTAGGCGAAAGTGGATCGGAGAGTAGTTTCGGCACTAATTCGTCACAGAGACAGCATAATCAAACCTCAACTACTGTCCTTCCTCCCCCCGCTATGGTAAGTGCAAGAAGAATAAAACAACAACAACAAATGCTGATTTCTCACCCTTCTCCTTTCTCGAAGTATCAAGTTTAGTCATCGTGACCTGTTTTTCGCGCGCATTGTCACTGACGCGTGTAGAGGTATTATACCTACTCGAGCGACGACTTCCTTGCTTGTTGCCTGACTGGATGAATCATTTGTCGTTTTCAGGCGGCCCCTTTGTGTTCACGACAAGCTCTGTTCACATTTCCCTCATTGTAATCGGAAAGCGAACTGACTACTTGATTTATTTCATCCCCAGAATGTTGCTTTGCAATTCGTAGGATTCTGGTTATACACTACTCTATGTGCTGGAATGGGAGAAGGAACTTGCAGAGATGCATTCCCACTATTGCTTAGTTATTATCTCTTATAACATAGAGTGCGTAGCTGATGTGAGATAAAGCAGTGTGCACAGATATATTAGTTTAGAGATGGTGCGAAATACATTCTATTCCTTCGCCATTGCCATTGGTATCTAATCGGAGGTGTTTTACGTGAATAGTTGTGGTTGGTGCACGAGACCTCCTTCAAGTTAGTGTCTGTGGATTGTTGAACGACCTTTGCATCTGGTTATATCTGACGTCCACCCAATTTATTTATCTTAGCCTGGATTTTGCTGCTAGTGAATGGTTAACCCCATGAAACTGAGTAGATAAATTGCAATCTGATTAGAATGTTAGGCTCTTTCTGGTGAGTCGACACTAAGCATTATTAATTTCATCTAAATGTCAGCTTTCGTATCTGCAACCATTAGAGTACTCTGCAATATATGCTACTTTGCGTTTTCTTCCTAGGGAAAACATTTGAGAATTGTTTTAAATAGATGTTTAACACCATGATATTCTAATGACCAGTATGAATTATTCAGTCTATACTGTTTGACTGAATGTTGGCTAATATCCTTTAAAGATCTTAAGTTTTCAATCCAAAATTGTTGGCGTATTGTTATCGAAATAGATGTTCTGGCTGATGCAGGCTTCCAAGAACTACCGCACAAAATCGTGATTTCTGATCATAGGTAAAAGTTTAAAGAAAATATTTATTTATAATGAAATATATTTTCTTGAATCTCTCGGTTACAACAGGCTGATTTATAATTGATTTAGTTGGTTCGTCATCCTGTAGATTGATTTATCGTGATTTACTAAATGAACTAAACGGCTCTTGACGCCGTATCTAATTATCCTGGTGTTTATGCCATATTTTGTTCTTGTGCAGTCCCAGCAGCAACAACAACAGAGCCGGTTCTTGGAGAGCGCCGAAGTCTTTCACAAAATGTCTGATCCCACGCCGGCCACAAAACTGGCCAATTTGCGGATCACTGATGGAGCTTTGCCCACCACCACCCCACCTGCTAACTCCATCGCTGTCAACACCCCTTGTACTGTCCCTTCCACTGTTCCTTCTTTACTTCCTCGGGTTCAACAGCAGGAAGCCTTTGTCTCTGCGGATAACATTCACCCAGCTGCCAGTGAGTTGAGATTTATTTTATATTTTTATATGCACTTTCAGACTAACGCAGGTTCGTTTTTAAACCGGTGTTTTTTTAGTAGGGGCTCCTATGCACTTTATCTTGGACGCGAACTGAACTGTTTGGGCTAATATTATCTACCAGATTTTCGTCATCTGTGGCTAAATATGCCATTTCCTTAGTTCTTTCGAGTTTCTGAGGGCTGAGACATTCATGATAATGTTTACATGAGTTTAAAAAAACATGCGTGGATAGTTCATAAAAGCGAAATGAAAAATGTAGAATGGTGTTTAAACGTTTAGAATTATAAAACTGTAAATTGCACCATCGATATTTCAAGATCTCCATTGAATCTGTAATTCATGGCAAATCGCGATTAGTATTCGGAGGTTTTATTTGCGCGTTTTTGTCTTCGGATTTTCTGCGCATTTTTCCAATTTCAAAATCAAATTCATCAATTTGGCTCACTATTAGTCCTTAGTGTGTGTAATTCGATTTAATTTCCTAAAACGCTTCCCAAGGAAACTTAACAGCCTTCTTTCTATCCGCACTTCCTCCCGATTTTACTGTGCACTTAAGAATAATAATTGGCTTTTCTGAAATCCGATTCCAAACTCTCTACTTCAATTTTATTGTTTTCAATAATTCTATTGCTGTTATAAGTTATAATTTATGAGTGAAAAATTGAGCCTTCTAATGCATAGTCTCATGGAATGGGATCCATCAAATTTTCTGGTTTAATTCCACTTAGTTCTGGCAATGAGCGCAGGATTCCTTTAATTAAGCGAATATTTTGCTCTTCTCACATGATTTCAAATCGTTAATTACCAGTGGACCATTTTATTGATTTTGCAGAGGTGTATTGTCTATCCCAGCTTCTGTGCACTCCGATTGAAGGAGGCGATGAATGTAACATGATACTGGTTCCAGTGTGCATGGCTCAGGTAGCTTGACCTAAGGTAGATAACAGAATAGTTGACAATATTACAGGCAAAAGTATATATCCATGTATATTTGATAAACACATTAGGTCTTATTGACAATTTTTCATTCTATGATTTCGATTGGCAAGTAATTTCTTACAGTTATTCTGTTAGAGGAATAGCAGTTTCTCCCTAAGCCAACATCTATTAGGATTCCACTCAGCGATTGCAAATAAATACTTAAGCGTTTATAAGACTATCTATTAGGTCAGTTTAATTCCCATTGGCCACTCAGAATTCATTTTATGAACTGCCTTCAATATCTTATTCCAATTCATAGTCCTGTATGCTTAAAACACCACCCTCTTTGCCGACCAGGAAGTAATTACACATTTCACATGCAAAGTCTCTTGTTTTCCACTGTTATTGTTCTTTCTCTAAAATGGGAAAGCAAGGTACGAAGAACTTAGTAAAAGTTCAGAAATTGATCATTTTTTTCATTTTAATTTTCAGAACGTGACTCCTCCTCTGAGAGATTAATCATGCAGTCTTACATGCACCCCACTTGATTTGTCCCGTACCGTGACTTGTTTGTTCATTTATACACCTCTCCTCTTTCTACCCTTCCCTCCTGCCATTGTTCTAGCATTTCGAACCTTTAGAGCTATTATACTTTCTCTTCACTTCTTCCAACGTCTACATCAATGTTTTTCTGTTAGAGAAAGTTTTTTTTTTCAACAAACGGCTTTCGATGCTAAGTTTAGGCTCCGGATTAGAAGGGTCACAACGTGTTAAAACGATTTCTACGCGTTATGAATTAAAGTTTAAGTTGTAATTAATGCAATCAGTTAGAGTACAATCAGAGTTCTAAGTTTTATGTTCTTTAGTCAGTTTTGATGTTTTGTAATATTTTCTACCTTTACTGCCGTTTCTATTCCACCATTAGATTTCATTTGTGAATAGCTTGGTTAAATTTTCATTTTTATAAATTCATGATATTTCAGATTAAGGAGTGTACTTCTTAACTCTGTCTGAACTTGCTGGAATAAGAGCAGATTTTGATCTGACACAAGGTCTAACTTGCTCTTATTTTCAATTTGTGAATTTTTAACAAAACTGGGATTTACATTTTGCGTTTATTTGATTCTCCTTATTTACTCTGCCTGCTTTCGCGACGCTAATTTTTGCTCATTAGTCATATAAGACCTAATTAGCCTTTCCGTTATCAGCCTTGCTACACACAGTCACATGAAGACAGCTGATCGGTTTGATTGCTGCTAAATTCGATTCACATCTGAATCCTGTGAACAAGTGGTGAGCTGGCAAGTTTAGAGTATTTTGATCCAACTGCTGAATAAGCCCTTTTCTTCCCTTATCCCCTTCAAGCGATACTAGGGTTTTATTTCTGTTGTTTATGCATAATAATTGACTGCTAAATAAGTTTTCTCTGGATGTTCTTTACCACCCCCACCCCTGCAAAATAATTTCCTAGATATGACACAACTGCCAAGACTCGATGTCCCTCATCGCTCGAGTTTGACAACTGCTAGTGGGTACCTTTTGACAGGGCACAACACTTCTACTCACCATTAGGCCTCATAAAACTACTTAGTATTTTATTATGTTTTTGAATTTCAGCTTCCCTCGCTGGCTCCAGTCAAGCTTCTCCTCTTGCCTCAAATCAAGCTGGAGGAAGTGTAGATGGGGGTCTCTATAGACCCTCTCTCACCACCTCAATTGCTGAAATCACACCCCATCAACTCCAACAACAGACTCAATCCATGTACCAGAGTGGCCTGGTGTGCCCTGCACGAGTGTCAGAGAAGATCCAGCAGTTGGTGAATACTCTCAAGCGACCAAAACGCCGACCTCTTCCTGAGTATTTTATCGACGAAGATGACCAAATTCTAGTCCAACCTGTAATCGATCCCAATGCACCTAAACCTCTTGGAGCCGTTACTGAGCCGCTCATTGGTGAAAAGTTAGTTGTAAGTTTCCCCATCTATAATCATTTCTCTATCGACATTCCTAAAGCAATGACATAAAAATGTATTCGTCATTTCAAATAAACATATGAACACTAAGAATTACACGAATGTATATGATTTACTTTTACACATTCCTTCATGCTGCCGGTTTTCAAATTTCGTTTTTCAATTCCCCTGAATCTCAGTTAGTTGAACAATATTGATTTTAAGGTGGCAGTGAATTTTGTAGTTCATGGATTCGTAAAATGAGTCGTTCGGTAAAGTGGTATAGCGTGTTTTAACTGGTGGATTTATTTTGATTCACGCACCCAAGGCTTGGTTTTTAGTTTCTGTTTGCTAAGGGTAATAGATTGGTGTTTTTTTCTGGACTCTGTCGAAGATGATTAAATATTTGCTACCTGTCTATGAGGGCAAATATTTCTTCGTAGCCCATCAATTTGTGGTACAGAAAATAATAGTAAATGCTAACATTATGTTATTTGTCTAAAGTGGAGCGATTCTCCTTCATTCCTCCCTTCATAAACGATGCTGTTTGTTGAAAATTTTGCCAATCAAAATGCACGTACGGGTCAAATTTTCCCTGCCATTATAAAAACAACCCCTCTTTGATCTTGCCTTTGGTGTTACCATACTGTTGTTTTTGTTTTCTCATACAAAATAAGAATATTATTATTTCAAATGGCAGCCGTTTTGAATAGTTATCATTAGCCATTTGGCTGACTTCGGGTTTCACAGAGGGAGGTACATCAAAGTGAGAAAAGAGGCAGACAAACAAAAAGGTAGATAAAAGGTGGGATGAATACTGTGGAAGTAGACGAATATGACATACAGTGGGGTCAGGGTAATTTGAAGTCAGAAGTCAACTGCCAGTTAATACAATTTTTTGCAGTATGAGTATACGTTCCCCAGTGTGCACCACGTGGAGGTAAGTCTATCGCGCACCCCTCATACAAAATAATTATATCGTTTTAAAGTGGTAGAGATTATGAGGATTATATGGAATGAATATGGGATTGTCCACTACTTATTTTCGTTTTTAAACATAATGCCTTTTAAATTCTTCATAGGTGCCGACGGGTTTACCTCGTAACATCGAGTCAGCTCTGCAACGATATGCCAGCGTGATTGGAAAGACACCGGCTCTCACTTGTCTCGAACCACCCGGTCGTTCGACCCAAGTCGTCTCCTATGCTAAATTGCTCCAAGTACGATCCCACTATTAAAGGCGTGCTCTAGCCAATTAATTGTTTTCCATTGGCACTAAATTTGTTTTTTTTCATGAGGGTCAACTATATTTAAGCGCATGAACAATTGAAGAAGTGCAAACTTTGAAATGACCTTTTGCCCCTTCTAGTTTTTTTTATTACAAATGAGGGATAAGGCCTATCAAGCCGTGATCGTTGGATGACTAATCGAAATTGTTGTGTACCAATCAGATATAGAAGTAAAAAGAGGGTGTTTTGAAAGTGGCCGTATATTTCGGGAGTGCATCTGCAATGTTAGAAGTCACTGATTGGTTGCCGTAGGCGCCTTCTGAGTAAGCGAAATGGCCAACTCCACCGGTCAAGTTTGGCTAATAAAGTGGGTGAGTGAGTTTGAGTTTCTCATGGTGAGATGGCCTAAGATGGGCGCTTAAGAGCGTTTTCCCAAATAGATCTTGGGAGTTAGTAACAGGTAAGCTAAAGTTCACGAAATTGGCTCTTATCAGTGCCTACTTAGCTGGATGGTTGACCTACAACCTTTGTTATTTCGGGTCTAAAGAGTTGAAGAATGTGGGTCACTCATAGCAATGGCTAGATAATCTCTTATCCACCCAAGCCGTTTTTTGCCACTTATTTACAACTCAATTATTACTATATTCTTTTTTTGCATCTTATGTCTCCTAGTACAAAATTTTAATTTTAAGTTAATTTTAAATTTTTTCTAATTAAATATAAGTGCTACATATCGGTTTTGTGACTAATCCCTTTTTTAATTAGGGAATGAATTTTTGGACATTAAATTACTTATTTTAGATCAAATTATTTATCTGGGTTGATAGAAACACCCAAATGATACGGCGGTATAGGTGAAACCTATTCAGCCGAATAAGTGTTCGTACGTTTAAACGATTTAAGCAAGAAAGACAACTATATTCAAATTAGCTGTGGAATGAAAATTTAAGCCCATGCTTGATCAAAGTCCGATCGTCGTTTTTTATTTGCTCCTGTAGCGTTCCAACCGGATAGCCTTCCTGTTATTGAACAAGCTTGGTCATCGTGGTGGTCAGAGTCTGAAACCACGCGACCGAGTAGCCCTTGTATACACTTCCAACGACCCCATCTCCTTCCTCATCGCCTTCTACGGTTGCCTTCTTGCCTCTGTCATCCCTATCGCCATTGAAGTTCCATCCACAAGGAAGGCAAGTATCTCTTACTTCCCTGTTTATTCTTTTTAGTCAATTTTCAGTTCCCGGTATTGCATCCATGAGCATCGGTTTTAGAGCTTTCAGCAACTCAAAAGGGTTCGTTGTTGTTTTCAGTTAGTTTTCTACTGGTCTTTAGCTTAGTTTGCATTTTTCCGTTCTTCTTCCCCTATAGAGACAGAAAGACTAACTTTCTTTGTTAGAATGCTAGCTTTGACATTCTCTTTTGTTATGTTCCCTTTTCGCATTTCATGCAATTTCATGTAACATCGTAGTTCCTGCGAAAGCGTTGCCTTTTCTTCGTATTCACAAGGAACGAGCCTTAATATCAAAAACCTGATACCTATTTCTTCAGTAGAAAATACACCAGATTCTTGTGATTATCGAATTACTTTAAATAATTATCAAACAGTGTAGCTGTGGCAAGTTGTAGTTTCGTATCCATTTAAATCTCATAATCAATCGATCATTATGCGAATGCATACTGTATACTGAAACCTGTTGTGTCTTTGACATGCCTAGGAAATAGAATGGAATAATTTCTCTGCTTACGTTAATAATTGTCATTTCAGACGATATGATTGTCCTAAACTGTGTTTAACCGTTTGTTTTATCTTCCGCCATCAAGCTAAAAGTGAATTTGCATAGCTTTTGTCGGGTTCATTGTCTATTGCGTATTGATTAATTATCCCTGTACCAGATAATTAATGCGAAAGCCTAATTGTTATCGCTCTGGTTATCATTCACCTTGAGCCTTTAATATGTAACGAAGCATTCAATCAGTCTACAGTTGAAAGGAGGCTAAAATTTGTTTGAGGAAAGCTTTCATTACGTAGACCTATCTTCCTATTAGATATTAAAAAGGTGATGGAAATTTTAAATATCGGTCCATTGAAAGTCAATGATGCTTCTATCCTTTTATTGTGGACGTGGGATAATTGCCACTACCGTGCGTGTCCACTCATTTTCGCCTTTGCGTCGGCTCTCCTCTTATGTACCATCAGGCCATTGGTCAGCTTATCTTTTCTCCGTCACACCCCATTCGTGCCCTTAGGGGATAACAAAAGATGGGACTAATAGGTCTTTCCTCCTCCTCTCTCTCCCCGCTTCGTTTTAACCATGCCTTGAAGCTATCAGCTGATGTTTTGTAGTGGGCTTGTTAATAACATAAAGCGAATGAGTTTGAAGGTCGAAATGCACGATCCTTTTATTACAATCGTTCCTTTTATATTTGTCTAGTGGAGAAGCTTGAATAACTTTAAAATATTACTTAAATGCAAATTTAAATGTTCAGTTTAATTTTTAAAACTACCAACGTAGCCTCTGTATTGTCCCCGTACTACATCTGGGTAAATTTTCTTAGCATACGATTAGTTCAAAATTTTTTGGGCATTTCGTTTTATTCAACTCCAAAGTAGTTTGAGAATTCGGCAGACCTCAAGCTACTCCTTTGCTTTGATTTAGCTTGAATCCCTGTTTCTTATTTGTACCTCCTAGACTTATTGTCTGGAATCGTTCCCTCATCTTTAAACTTTGAATGCATCTAATGCTGCGTTCATTGCTTCTTGAGTATTCTATGAAACCTTCATCCTTATTATTCATCTTCTTCCTCTCTGAGATTTCGATAATTGGAAAGGCTTAAGAGTGTTCTAGATCATTTTACTCTTAATTTTACAGGATAGTTCCTGTCAGAATATGGGTTTCCTCCTGAGCAGCTTGGATGCTCGTGTGGTACTCACTAATGAACAAGTTTACAAATCTCTGGCTCGCACTCCCTCTGGGGATATTGCTCCCCTCCCCGGTTGGCCACACCAAATTATCTGGATCAATACCGATCACCATGGCGGCGGCGGTGGTGGTTTTATTGGAAGTAGTGGAAAAAAGGTTCCCAAAGACTGGTCTCTCCCTGAAAGACTTCCTCCTGAAGAAACTATTTATATTGAGGCAAGTCTTTCCATTTGCGTATAATTGAAGGCGAATTTCTAATTTAATACAAATAAACCAATATAAAACGTAGAAAGTTAACAGTGTTATAGCTTTTCTCGGTTCTACGATCTTAGCTGCCGCAAGATAGAAAGGAATCGGTGAGTGTATTTATATTGAGAGTACAAATAGTAAAATATGAATAAGTCGAAAGGTTAATCTTGAAACACAGAAGAATATTGCAAAGCAACCTGCAAAATCCTCAACATAAGTATTTTTATTTATTTATTTCAAATAGCAAGCTTTATGATATTTATCATTAGCCCTTAATCTTTGA